GTTGTTGTTGTTGTTTTTGTTGTTGTTGTTGTTTCAGGGAATTTCCTACCACCTCTGCTGAGTTCCTCACACAGGATCTTCTTGCTAGGATGCCCTTTTAACTTAGATCCAACCATACAGATATAGGCTGCCTTATGTTTCAACACATTTATAACCTGATAATTATAATTCACTGGTATCAGGATCATATTAATCTAGAGAAATGGTATCATTATCATGCACCACAAACAAACCCCATAGACACGCTTGTGGACAATCCTGAGCAGATAGAAGTAGAATTCAAAATTTGTTAAGAAGCCCTAGACATCAAACCAATCACAGCAGGTAGGTATTCACAAGACATAGATCCATAGATGTGGAAATACAAGGTAGTCATTATTATCTTCTTAGAAGAGAAAAGTAAGTTCCAGAGGAAATAATCAGTGTATAAGTGGCAAAGTCCCAGTCAATGAGCCCTAAAGGGCTTGCTATTTTTTTCTTAAAAATTTTTTTTATTCATTTTACATGCCAACCACAGAACCCCCTCTCATCCCTTCTCCTGTCCCCCTCACCAGTCTCCCCTCTGATCCACCCCTCATCCCCTCCTCCAAAAGGGTAAGGCCTCCCATGAGGAGGCAGCAAAGCCTGGTACATTCAGTTGAGTCAGGACCACGTCCCTCCCCAATGCATCAAGGGTGAGCAAGGTGTCCCACCATAGGTAATGGGATCCAGAAAGCCAGCTCATGCACCAGGGATAGATCCTGATCCCACTGCCAGGGGCCCCTCAAACAGACCCAGCTACACAACTGTCTTCCATATGCAGAGGGCCTAGGCCTGTCCCATGCAGGTTCCACAGCTGTCGGTCTAATGTGGTACATATATACAAGGGTTTGCTTTTTTAACCACACCCTTTCCACATGTAAGCCAGTTTTCTCATCTCTCACTGTGGTAGCTTAGACCTTATAAATCATGAGTAGCAGAACATTATTCTATTTCCGGGCTAGACAGACTGCAGGATATGGGGACCTAATTTCATACAGGTGCTGGACTATACCTTCTAATGGGAACTGAGCACTTAGAGTTGCCTGTGACATTAGCAAGCCATTTACCTCCTGAGTAAAAAGCAGCTTGTTGATTTAGTCATGTCCTCTACTCACATCTCAAATCCCAGTTGCCAAAGGAAGCATTTCTGCCCGATGTACTTTCACCTCATTTGAGGCCAGATGGCACACTCTCTGGGACTTGGGTAGAACAAGCCTTCAATAAATGTTTGATTGCCACTAGTGACTCATGCTCATGAAAGCAGACACAATAAGGTCCGTGAAAGAAATACATCGTAGTCAGAACCTGTCTGCAACACGTAGCTGCAACTTGCTTATCTTCAGAAAATTCTAGTCCTGTGATTTTCTTGGTAGGCATTCTTTGATGGGGAGGAAAAAGTTAAGAAGCTATCTACATAGCATGTAAAATTATATTTCCACTATTACACTTTGTATGGATTTATAGCAAGTTCAGGCTTGAAAAAAACACATGAAGCTATTACATCAACTACAGATACACAGTAATCCAAAAAGAACATCTTATCTTACTTACAGGTTTGAAATTAGTCAATGATGTAATGAGATGGCTAAAAAAAATCATCAGTATTAAACTGTCTTTATAAATTAAAATGCATAGAACCAAGAATTCCTAATCTGTGTTTTAGGCAATATGTATTAGTTAGGGGCAGAAAGAATAGGGAACTTGAGGCATAGTGTTCATGGCAGAGAAAGTTAAGGTGCCATGGTGAGTAAGAAAGACTCCTAGAACAGGGAAGAAGAATTTAGGAACAAAAAACATGGGGCTCAAATACAGAAAGATTTCTATAAAATAGCAAGAAAGATTAGATTCAGTTGAAGAGTAAGTAAGTAGGTTGCTTTTTTAATAAGTTGATTTAGTACAAGGCTAAATTTTCTTCAGAGAAAGGTATGGAATAAACTGGCCAGAAAGTACGGTTTCAGTTTCTTATTTCCAGGATAGACTAGTTATTGACTAGACTAGACATTGAAGTGGAGATTCACACACTGCATAAAGTTACCTTTTAAGTAGTCACCAAAGTAAGCAGCTATATCACTTCTTATATGTAGCTGTTCCAGATTGAGAAAACAAAACAAAACAACTCACTTTCTAAACAGGACATTCCTCCCTGCTTATACAACTCGCTGAGGGGTTGACTTCAGTCTTATCAAACTCCTGTTCTTGCCAACTCAAGATTTATGTGCTCATGTTATTCAGATCATTACTATGTTAGGGTAGGTCCCCCCTCATGCTGGGGATTGATCCAAGGGCCTTACACATGCCAGGTGGTCTTTCTGTGCAACATCCAGTCTTCTTTTGTAAAGAAAAAAGTGTAGGTTCGTGTAGCCACACACCAAGAAGCAGACGTATTTCCATTATTGACATTTAAAAATTCAGTCTTCAAGAGCAACCATGTATTGCTTCTTGGTCTTTTGGCTCAGACTGAGTGTAAAGCAAACGCTTCCAAAATCATAGCATCTGCTAGTGGAAAGAGCAAAGACGCTTAATCCTCAGGTTAGTAGCTTTTTACAAATAGAGTCTATGCCTTTTTCTAAGCTAAACAATCTGCTGCCCCACATTCCTCCTGTATCTCTCAGATTTATCTGTACATTAACAATGCTCACCAGCAGATAGCCAAAAAGGCTGGCCAAGTTGGACCAACTTCAAGATTTGTTTCCACAAGGGGGTGTTTCATGCACTTGGCAGAAGCAGGCTGCAACTGTAGCTTCATTTATTACATTGTGCTATAAACATTATGTCCCGAGCTAACAAGACACTCCACATGACAGTCCCATAGGTTACCAAGCACCGTAAACATCTGTTAACACAGGCGCCAGCGATAGCATAGTCAAGGCCTGTTGTGTCCATTTGAAAGTGGTTTATGGGGTGTAGTCGACTGTTTAAAAACTAATAATCAGAAACACAGCCACAAACCCTGACTGAAGCAAATATTTACCAGGCAAAATTGGGCTCACTTTGAGAAAATATGCGGTAATGTCGTCACTTTGCCACTGCATTTACAGACTTTCATTTCACACCTTTGCTCGTTAGGTATCGGCTTTTCCGTGGTGTTCAGGAGGCCAAAACTACAATTTCACTGTGATCTATTTGCTCCCAAAAGAAACAGAAGTGTCATTGAGTGTTGATTTACCAATTTCCTCTAGACTAACGTGAAGCCAAAAGTTTATAAGGGTGAAAGAAGGCCACGAAGGCTGGATCGGGCTTTTCAAGCTACAAATAATATTTGCCGGGGGTCTCTTTGCTGGCACGCACCCTTCTAGTCCATCCAGAGCTCTATCTGGAGGGAAAAATCAGAGACTGGAGACCTCTTAGCATCTAATCCCAGAACACAGAGCTTTTCTTTTCTCAAAAGGAAAGATAGTTTCCAACTACAACATATACATGCATATATATGTATATGTATATGTGCGTACAGCATATATATACAGCATACACACATGCACATACATATCCAATACTCTATTTTCTGTTATGCTATCTCATTTCTATGTAACATTTTAATCTGTGGAAATATTTCGGTAGCTGTCATCTCAAGAATAAAGGGACACCTTGAGTGGTCCGTGTAGGAAGGAGTGTGGAGCAACAGTTGCTACTATACATCCGATTTCTTTTGGAAGAGGTAAACACTGTCTCAGACACAGCCCGTGGAGTTGCAGGGTAAACACTCCTGAGACCACTTATCCCCTGGACACAAACAGCAGCACCCTGAGAGGCACACAGATCCACAACAAATCTGCCCTCATCTCTCAAGTTCTGTAACCCCATGTGCACATATCTCCTATACGCTCCAATGCTCTCCCACTCAGCTTTCCTGGGAGCTCCAAAAACCACCATTTCCAGTCTATGGTTTCTTTCTCCTTCTCCACACCCTGGCTCAGGAGGCCAACACACCTCCCAGGGCGCTCCCACACACGTGCCCATACACACAGCACCCACACACGGCACACTCCTTCAGCACACACACACTAGAGCCAGACCACGGAGCACTGCAACCCGTCCTGCAGACACACTCCCCAGCGCTATATATAAAGTCCTTGCCCAGAAATAGTTTTCCCCCATGCACCCACAAGTGGCTAGCCCGGTCCTGAACCCACTACGTGTAGCCAGCGCCGCCCCCCCCCCCTCCCGCTTTCAGACACGCACCTACCCCACTCACCCGCTCAGCGCTCAAGATTCTCTCTGCAGTTCTATCAGAACTTTGAGCCTGGTTGATTTCATAACCACGAGTGTGTCCAGAGCTGGGACAGTTGGACTTGCCACAATTTCCACCCCAGTTCATGGAGACTGGTGGCAGTGACTCTCCTGACCCCAGCTCCTCTGCACAGACGTGCAAAGGCGGCATGCTGCAGGGGTCACGCGCTCACAGCCCACCCTCAGAAGTCTCCCCGGTCTCTCCACCCGGGGACAGGGACTTTCTTCAGACAGCAGCAGCAGCCTGGGCAATTCCTGCCCCAGCTTGGCACGCTGACGATGGCAAACAAATACATTCGGGAAACTTTGAAGACTCACAAAAACTGTCTTAGGAGGAAGCCTCTCCTTGCACCTCAAGCCTCACAGCCTGCTTGGAGCAGGAGCCAGGCTGGGACGGTTCGCCTGCCGCCCCCAATTCCTTGTCGCCCCCATGAACTTTCAGCTTCACACAGCACCAAACACACACACACACACACACACACACACACACACACACACACACACACACACACACACTTCTAGGACATGGACATGGATGGATCGGGTTACAACAACCCATCAGCAAAAACAACTTTTGAGAAGAGTAGAATACAGCCCACCTCAAACTCATGCAAAAAAAAAATTATCTAGGCAAATACATAAAAGTGATTCCCATTTTCATAAGCAGTTGGCATGCCCAGGTCTACTCCCAGGTCTCCTGGCACAAAGTGGGGGAAATAAGAGCTGGACTCCCGGGAGTCCCCCTCCAGTACCTCGGAGCTTCGGCTCGGGAGACAGAGCGCGGGTTCGCGTCCTCGCGGGGGCCGCTGGCGCCGAGGCCTCAGGCCCGCGTGGCCCCAGCCCGGGGTCCCCGCGGTCGCCGGGGCTCAGCAGCAGCCGTCGCCGCCACCACCGCCGCTGTAGCAGCCGCCTCCGCCGGTGCCGCCGCTCCCTAGACCGCCTCCTCTTCCCATGGCTGCGCCCTGCTTGGCAGCTCGTGGGCTGTCAGGCTCGGGGAGGAGGAAGGGGGCGGGGTGAAACGGGAAGGGAGGCGGGGAGGGGAGAGGAAGGGAGGGGAGGGGTGGGAAAAGGCGGCCGGCCTTGTGTTCAGCCAGGGGCCGGTGGCTGCGGGGTTCCAGGCTGCGGGCAGCGGGAGTGGAGGGCGGCCGGCTCCGGACCCGCTGCGGGGGAAGCCGAGCGCCGCCCCCGCTACTCATTCCCCGGGGCTGGGATGAAGCTTTCCGGCACGGAGTTTGGAGTTGGTGCGCGTCACTCTCATCTGGGCGGCGGGGCTCCTCCTAGAGGAAAATATTGGTAGTTGCGGGACACTTCCCAGCTCTCCTCCACCCACCGGGTTCCCCGACAGAAGGCAGGACCTAGAAGTCCCCAAGTGCGGGCTGTGTGTTCAGAGAACACTCACAGAGAAGTGCACCTCCTGCAGGTACCGGAAGAAGACACCTTGGGAAGTGTCAGGAGTCCACCATGCATTCCTCAGGGGTACCCAGTTGGCCCCGATTTTCAAACTCCTGATCACTGGGACACAATAATAAGGAGCTTCCCTGTCGGAGAGGTTAAAAAGTGGAGAAAAACCAGGTAACTTACAGAGAATGCATGCATGTTTGCCGAGAGCTGTCTAGATTACAGAGCACAGGCCTGCAGGGACAGCAAGCAGGACTAGGGTCCAGTCTGAGGTTTGTCCTCTTTTGTGACCTAGGGATAGAATTTTAACTACCTACTGCTGGGCACAGTTCATCTCTCAGACACAGGCTCTTGCTACCCCGTTCCAGTTTGTTGGAAAAATTAACCAGACAGGAGTTTTCAAAGCACTTCCCAAAGTCAGAGTGGTACATCAGTATTTTCGTGAAGCACCAAAAGGTCAGTTACCACTCACTTCTCTAGGCATAAGGGGTACAAAGGTACAAAAGTCCAGCTCGGGGTTGTCGAACTGTCTCCTATCTGCAGGAGCAACTGGTCATGCGCTCTTTTTGCTGTTTACTTTGTACTCACAGCTCATTGTCACACCACTTCTCTATAACCTTCTTACAATTTCAGTTTACAAAGGGACTCCCCCTCGCCCTTTCCCCATTGCGTTGAGAGCCAGAGTCACAGTTACACGACTAAACACTGCAAAAGAATAAAATACCCATTTCATCTCAAGGGTGGGGTGAAAACCTAGGAACACAGGACCAAAGGAATCATACAACTGGAAACTTTTTCCTTAGCATCCTTCCCAGGAGCCTCCGGCTGTGTCTCGGCTACCTTATTGGCTCTAGAATACAGAAAGGGGGAAAGATTCTGGAAATGGTATGTTTCATCCCTGTCCCACTCAGGGACAGGGGGTGGGATGCTTAGTGGCCTTGAACCGGTCCTGTTTCCCAGGCAGGCTTTCTCTGAGACTCCCACAATCCTTTGGTTACCATGCTTTGATGGAGCAGCAGTGGTGCTCACTGACTCTGGAGCTTTTAAAGGGGGAGTTACCCACCTAGAGAAACCTGAGAAAGGAAACCATGAGGTCAGGCAAAACTCCTCCTGGGTGGTCTGTGCGTGCCAAGCTGACTGAAAGGACAGGACTGACAGGAATGGAGACCAGGCAGGCCTCACAAGCTGACTTCACTGTCTGAGGTGACCTTTCATGAATGCACTTTGGATTCTGGCAACACCAGCCTATCTCCTTACATCATGCCCATGCTCTCTCCCCTTTCGTCTTCCCCTCTCTCCAAGCCCGGAGCAAATCTTCATCTAGTCTAGGAGATGTCACGTGGTCTCATGGAAGATTTCCTGAGTTCTGATCATGCTCCAAGGTGATTTCAGGGTTACGCTTAAACAAGGAAGGATTGTCCTTATGTTGCTCTGGCTTCAGCTGCAGCCTCCATTCTGTGAGACACGAAAGCAGATTTCTTTACATGCCACCCTGTCTTCTGTAGAAATGCCATCATCCTCAGACAGCATATGAAAAGGTACGCTGGCTTATGTATGATGTTAAAGAAACAGGTTGGGATGTAACTTGACAGGGTCTAGCTAGGAGACAAACCTCTGGGCGTTTTGTGAGAGACTTTCTAGATTGGATTAACTGAGATGGGCAGCTCCATTCCAAGAGCTCTGGCTGAAGGAAAAGGAGAAAGTAAGCTCTTCTCTCTCTGCTTCCCGACTGTGGACACAATCTCACCAAATGCTCTGCTCTTTCCCACCATGGGTGGACGAATCCTCTTCAACTCCATGTTAAAATAAACCAGGATGGAGAGATACTTCAGTTACTAAAGTCCTTACTGTGCATGCACTAGGACCTGAGTCCCTAGTACCTAAGTCCATAGCATCCGAGTCCCTAGCATACGAGAACAGTAGTAGCAAATGGTGCTTCATAGGTTGGTGGTACACAACCAGCATTTTGGAGGCAAAGACAGGTGGATTTCTGGGGCTCACTGGCAATCAATATAACCTAATTAGAGACTCTTATCTGTTTGAGAGACACTGTCTCAAAGTTACTGAGTAGATGGAGAAAGGACACCTGAGGTTGACCTCTGACTTCCACAAACATGAGCATACACGTGCACATGCACCCCACCATGAGCATGTACACACATCTACATTAAATAAATAAAAATTAAAAGGAATAAAATAAGCCTACTTCCTGTAAATTGCCTCTTGTCAAGTATTTTATGAAAAAAAGTAACCAATACAAGACAAAATTTGTCATTTATATGAAGAGCATCTTCTATGTTTGAACTCCAGAAATAAATGTCCCTGGGTCTCATGGATGACCATATACAGGTCTATAGTAGTATGTGTTCTTTATATTTTCCATTTAGGAGGAATAAATGTATCAGGCACTGAGGTAACTACTTTGTGATAAGAGTATAATTTACCTTACAAAAAGTGAAATTGCATTTACTCCTGTGTGTATTCTGCCCTATCACCCTGCTTTGTCTACCCACAGCAGCTTTCCAGCCTTCGAGTCCAGCTCAATTGTTTACATTCTCTCTGAAGCTCTTGCTGGATCATCTCAAGTGTGAAATTATTTTGTTTTCCCTGAATCTAAGCTTTTATACTTACACTTGTTATATGTTGCAACTTTTGCTGATTTTTTCCATTTTATTAGGAAAACAATATATTCTTACTATCTGTACTTCAAATATCTAGATCAGTGCTTGGCAAATAGTAAGGGGTTTCATAAATGTTTAGCCAAATCTAATGAAAAATAAATCTATAGATAAAGATCTTGAATTCATATCCCAAACCTTCATCTGTCCACAGATCTCCAGGCTAGCAATAAGTCATTGCTACATAGATTTCTTTTTTTTTTTTGGTTTTTCGAGACAGGGTTTCTCTGTGTAGCTTTGCGCCTTTCCTGGAACTCACTTGGTAGCCCAGGCTGGCCTCGAACTCACAGAGATCCGCCTGGCTCTGCCTCCCAAGTGCTGGGATTAAAGGCGTGCGCCACCACCGCCCGGCTTACATAGATTTCTTATGGACATATCAACACCAATTATATTCAAGTCAGAACTCTGATTCCCTCTCCCTGGCTGTGCTGTAATCATAGCTATTGCAGTCACCATTTCAATAGACAGCAACTACTTCTACCTAGTTCCCGATATCGCAAACCTCTGTGGTCATTCTTGCCTCATCTTTGTCCCTCCAACTCCACCTTTAGCATCTGTTACTTCTTAGAGAGGTCAAGAAGCAATTAGCTTGAAACATCAGAATCTTACCTCTATTGCTGCAGTACTTTATAGACTCAACTGGTCTCTGTGATTCAACAATTCTTCCTCTTCTCACTACCAACACTCTTGATCCAATGCACAGTCTAATCTAAAAATGGGATTCTTTTTAAAACCAAGTCATGCCATCCCTTTGCCCCACAAGCCCCCATTTGAACTAATATGCAAATAAAAATGACACATAAGACTCTGGGCTATGCATTTTCACTCTCCACCTCATCCCTATTAGTCTTTCCTGGACTTAGTCTGCTCTTCATCCCCACTAGTCTTCCCTGGACTCAGTCTGCTCCTCATCCCCACTAGTCTTCCCTGGACTCAGTCTGCTCCTCATCCCCACTAGTCTTCCCTGGACTCAGTTTACTCCAGTCACATTGGACTCCCTGCTCTTTCTCAAACAAACCTTAACTTATAAACTGTTCTTGTTGTTTCTTCAGCTGTAAAATCCCTTCTCTGGACATTTGCATGTTCCCTTGTCTTGGCTCAAATAGCACCTTGTTAAGATGGCCGCTACCTTGACTGACCTATTTTACTTTATTACAGTGTGTCTTCTGTCACCCTCTTCTGTCTCCCCACCACAGACAGCTTAACCAAAAATGTAACTCACACTTCAAGAGAGTGGAAGCAATTAGAACTCAGAGCAGGCATATTCAAATCCAGGTAACCAGGTCAGTTTGTTATCTCTTCAATTCCACAGCTGCACAGCATAAATTTTCTAAAACTACAACTATCAGGGACCAGGATTTTACTTGGATCATTCTGTTGTTCTGTCAATTACCAATGTCCTTTATCAAACCACAAGAAAGAAACTAAAACTCCCCAAATAACACTTGCAGTTAAAGAAAGGACGAGTGTTGCTTAGGAGCCTGGGTGGCTCATCTGTGGTCTTGGTAGGCTGCTGATCGATCTCACAGTGACTCAGTTCCCTAGAGAATGAGAGGATTGATAGCTATTGACCATGTATATTATTATCCTGAGGTCTGTGATTGGTTGATTTCCTGTGTCAAATTGGCTTGGCAGTGGTACCCAGATATTTGGTCAACTGCTTTGCAAGACACTTCTGTGAAGAGATTTTACAGATGAGATTAGCATTTAAAATAATAAGCTTTAAGTAAAGCAGATTACCTAAAAAATGGAATGTGTATGGACCTCATTGATCAGTTGAAGGCCTTATCGATGTCAGCCTTATCCGAATGTGAAGTATCACCAATTTCCTAGTTCTCCAGAACTGTGAAGAGGGGTCAAGGAAGACCTTTAAAAAGTAGGCATTTCTACCTGGAGCTCATAATATCTAACAGGAATACAGCATACTGATGGCCTTGACTCTCATTAGTGGACTGGGAGCCACCTACAGGAAGGTTCTGAACCTGGAAGAAACCAGACTACATCTAGCAGCCTCATGGGAAGATTAAGAGATAGATTTCAATAAAAGGCACGTGGATGGATATTCACCTTAAAGTCATCCCAGCATTTAAGCATAGAGATTTTTTTTTTTTAATGGGGAGCAATGTTTCCATCTCTGTCTGTTAAAACAGAAAAACAAAAACAAAAACCTATTTGAAAACATCTGGTAGACAACCAGCTAGCTTCTGTCTGGGTAATTATACCAGTGAGGAACTCACTAACTCCTCTACTGGGAAGCTTGTTCCATTTTGTGACTGTGCTATTTATTAAAAGTCCTTTAGCCATCATATTCCATTTTATTATTTATACATAGTTTTGTCTCTAAAAGCCTAGGGGGAAAATATTAGAAATTTAAATGTATTTCTTTTCTCAGGGCAGACTGCCACTTACCTTTTCTCCAAAGTCAAACCCATGCGGGCCATTCCCACACCTTATTCTAATCACTAGCCTGCTTCTCCATCCTATTGTCCTCTCTAGTTTATCTAATTCCTGATAAGTTTTAGGCCTGCTGAAGGCCTCTCCGCCGTCACAACAAACTGAATCAGACCAAATTGGACAGCCCAGGTTTAATGGGTAAAGTGCTCCCAGGGTGATTCCAGCCCCCCTGCAGAAAGGAGAAGGGGACAGACGGAGAACCACAAGTCTCTTTTTGGGAATGCTGCTTATATTTCCCCTGTGGGAGTCAGTCGTCCTGAGCCTCTCTGGGGGAGGGGCTGTGTTTGGTGGGTTTTGAAGGGGCAGGTTTTGGGAGGAGCTGTGTGAGACTCTTTGGGTATAGGGGTGCCAGGGTGCCAGGGGTTGAGGTGGAGCTCCCATCCAAACAATTCCTTTTGAAGTTACTGTTTTCTGTTATCAAATTCAGCCCTACCTGTGTCTCCAAAGATAGAGGGGGATGGTAAGCTTCTATCTAGGTGCCAGGGAACAATGAAAAGGGCAAAAGTCTGGAGTCTGGAAGATACAGCAGAACCCAAGGTCTACTGAGGGCATCTGTCACTCAGCCTGCACTCCAAAGGTCCCTCTGGAATACAGAGCTTTCTATTCTCTCTTTCCTTTCCCATTCCAGTCATTTGCTTCTTCTTTTCACATTTTTTTTTTTTTTTGCTTTTTGCCTTTATCCTCCTTATTTTCAAAAGACGTGAGAAAATAAGAGCATGGGAGAATGTAAATGGGAAAGAAATCTGACCAGGAATGAGAAGGGCTCTTGTAGCAGTTTCCTGTTGTAGAAATTAGATATAAAGACCTATTTCTAGGGACTGAATCCAGTCTCAACTTGCTAATCCAAGAGGAGGAACAGTGAGCTACTTGAGCATCGAGGGGACGGCCCTGCCTAGTGAAGCCCGAAAGCGTCAAGCAGGCAGATGAACTGCTGTTAATTTTGGCTGACAAAAACCCTTAGATAAGACAGGGACTGCATCGAGGAGACAGAGGATTAGCCACGCAATACTGCTTTCTCTAGGCCAGCAGCCTTGTGCACTTCCTGAGTCAGGTGTAAGGTGGTGACCTCTTACTCTATAAAACTGTGATATCTTTTAAAAGATATATTTATTATGTTTTACAATGTGTTTGGATGCTTTGCTGGCATGTATGTCTGTGCAGCACACATGCTTGCAAAGAATTCAGAGGCCTGAAGAGGGCACTGGGTGTCCTAGGACTGGAGTTCCAGAAGGTTTGGAGACACCATGTGGTGCTGGGTGTCTCTGGGAAGGGACACTTAAGCTCATTCTGTAACATCGAACATTGGAATACATAACATCAGAAGATGAAGTACAAGTGGCCAATATGAAAAGAAGTTCAACGTCACTAACCACGTGAAAAACATAAACTAAAACTGCACTGTAACTCTATCTCATCCCCATAAGAATGACAGCCGTCAAGGAAACAACAGCTACCTCTGAGGGAGGGTGCTCAGTAGGAAACACTTACACACTGCTGGTGGGATAGAAAGCAGTCTCGCCACAGGGGGAATCAAGATGGAGGTTTGTGAAGAACTAGATCTTCCACATGCCTTAGTTCTACCAGTCCTCAGTGTTTATCCAAAGAGCTTACAATAATTTGATTTAGAACATTCGAGGCGCATTCATTATATAATGTGAAAGGAGGTATTCCCTCTCATTAATTTATCATAAATATTTATATAATAGATGAGACATGATACTTGATGCATGACAATCACTTTATTTCTGTTGATTGATATTTTCCAAAACAAACATGGTGTCAGAGTTTTCAATCTATCCACATCTTTACCTTTTTAAAATTTACATTACTTATCTGTTTAATGTTTCTTTATCTAGTTTTTTTTTCTTTAAAGAGGATGTGAAGTGGCTTCTGGAAATATGTATATGAGCCAGAGGATAAGTAAGCAAAACAGATGAGGAAGGAGGCAACAAAACAAAATACAATAACAACAACAATAATAGAACATAAAACTAAGACAGTGGGCAGCAGCACTAACTAGCTCTTGAAATACATGTCACATAAATTGGGTGTGATGGTATACAACTTGAATCCCAGCACTCAGAAAGTGGAGTCAAGAATTTCAGTTTAATTATGGCCACGTAGTGAGTTTGAGACCAGTGTGAGCTACATGAAATTCATAGTTTCGTATTCTCATCTCTCCCTCCCTCCCTCCCTCCCTCCCTCCCTCCCTCCCTCCCTCTCTCCCTCCCTCCTCTCTCTCTCTCTCTCTCTCTCTCTCTCTCTCTCTCTCTCTCTCTCTCTCTCTCTCCCTCTCCCTCTCTCTCTCTCCCTCTCTCTCCCTGGGCTGACTATCTTGGTATACGCCTTAGTGAACAATTGTCTGGTATAAGGGGGAAGATATGGACAGACACCTAAAGTTGTCCTCTGACTTCCATGACAATACACACATACCATGGATCCACAAAATGATAAGAAAAAAAAAGGAAAGAGAGAGAGAGAGAGAGAGAGAGAGAGAAAGACAGAGAGAGAGAGAGAGAGAGAACTAGAGATATTGCTTATTGGTAGAGAATTACATATGGCTCTGAGTTCAATTTCCAGTACTAGCATATATATATATATATATATATATATATATATATATATATATATATATATATATATATTTTCCGTATAAACTTTTGGCTCAAAAGTGCTATAATTTTCACTTTAATGATATTCTATATTTGAACATTTGGTATCTAGATATTTATTTGCATTCATTGTTCCTGCAAATTTTATAGTTTGTGGAATTATGAGATGCAAGTTTTGAGCAAACTGTTCCCAGATAAGCAGTAGTCCAAATGAACACAAGAGCTGAAATCTACTTGCAATTCCAACTTTCCTGAGATTACTTTTAGACTGAAATAAATCCTGCCTTATCTGGGGGTTCTCAGGACATATATCAAATGTGATGCTTATGTTTATGATTCACAGAAGAAGGAATAATCTATTTCAACCATACTTGCATACCTTAAGCATGATGAATATTGACTCCAAACTGAAAACTATCAAAATATAACTTAGAGTCTGAGTTTTGTGACGTAGGTTACTCTTTGAAAATAAATTTACATAAAAAGACACATTAGTAAACTTAAGTTATTGAAAGTTGCCACAGAAACACAAATCAGACAACATCTTCTTGATGTTAAATGAATGAGGCTTTCCTGGTCAGTTCCTCGCACACATTGTTCTGGTGTGGTGTTCTATGTGATGGCTCCTACCTTAGTTTAAGTTTTCATTGCTGGGAAGAGACACCATGACCACCACAACTCTTATAAGGAAAACTTTTTTTTTTTTTTTTTTTTTTGGTTTTTCGAGACAGGGTTTCTCTGTGTAGCTTTGCGCCTCTCCTGGAACTCACTTGGTAGCCCAGGCTGGCCTCGAACTCACAGAGATCTGCCTGGCTCTGCCTCCCGAGTGCTGGGATTAAAGGCATGCGCCACCACCGCCCGGCTAAGGAAAACTTTTAATTGAGGCTGGCTTACAGTTTCAGAGGTTCAGTCCATTGTCATCATGGTAGGGAGCGTGACGGCACACCGGAAGACATGGTGCTGAAACTGAGTCCTACATCTTGTAGGCAACAGGAAGTTAACTGAAAGTTACACTGAGGGAAGCTTGAACAAAAGAGACCTCAAAGCCTGCCTCCACAGTGACACTTCCTCCAACAAGGCCACACCTCCTAATAGTGCTACTGCCTTTGGGGGACATTTTCCTTCAAACCACCACCGTTCCCACCATAAGGTCATGGTCTCTGTCATAACTTTGTTCTTCTGGGCAGGAATCCCAAACTTAGAATCTTTTCTTTTGATCAAAGCTTGGCAGAATATTCTTCTCCAAATTAAAACATTTACCTGAGATAAGCAGAAAATCAATTTATTTTAACCCATTACATAGTTAAGAACATAAAATTAATAGAACATTATTATTATAAACATATTAAAAGATATTTAAATACACTCACCATTAAAGAACTGAAAATGAAGCCATACATAGTGACTTATGCCTGTAATCCTAGCACTCTGGGAAGCTGAAGCAGGAGGATTGCCACCAGTTCTCAGCCAGCCATAGAAGGATATTGTCTTAAAAATTAAAAAAAAATGTAGATCAAAACAACAGCTTAAAAAAAATCACATTAGAAAAGAAAATACATGCTAAAAGTACATAGTTAGGGTGTAGGGATAAAACACATTCTTATTCATGACAATTCAGAATTTAAGTCAGTTAAACATATTTTCAGGACATTTTTATGTGTATGAACTTGTAATTGCATAGTTCTTTTTGCTCACATATTCCACTTTTTGAGGAATGCATTTATAGACAAGCTCACAGAATTTTGCTCAATTATATTAATGAAGGCAATTTGAAATGATCCCTCGTTTGTTGTGCTCTGACATTTTAAAATGGCTTATTGTTTTTATGCAGGAATTCTCAGTGTGCTTATCATCCCCTTTATTCATATCTTCATGCTGGCTATTACGTGGTTGCCCCAATGAGAAACAGTGCAAGACACCTCTGCTTTTCATTTCAGGAAACTAAGGCTGGAGGGAGCCCACTGGGAGTTGGTTTATTAAGAATAGTGGGTCATGCCGGGCGGTGGTGGCGCACGCCTTTAATCCCAGCACTCGGGAGGCAGAGCCAGGTGGATCTCTGTGAGTTCGAGGCCAGCCTGGTCTCCAAAGCGAGTACCAGGAAAGGCGCAAAGCTACACAGAGAAACCCTGTCTCGAAAAACCAAAAAAAAAAAAAAAAAAAGAATGAGTGGGTCCCATTTCAGTTCTAATTTTAAAGCCATGTTGCCTTTGCCTTATCAGACTTACCTTGGTATGTTGAGAAGTCTGAAGCCTTGAATATTGCTTGGAGGTGAATGCCACAAATTTCTATTCATGCCGGTTCTGTGATTCCCAGAGAAGGGAAACAAACTACTTGCTGCTGATGCAAAATTTCTATTAGTGGGGACCCATTTTCCAGTTCTTAATTTTTGATAACCAGAATACAGATAAAAATCTTGCAGAACCTTGAAATGTTGATATAAATGAAATAATGTTTTTGTATTTCTGTATTTTAAAGGTATCATTGCTTTCAGAGATGTACAAATCGTCCATGCTCCAACCGTCATGCTGGAGCATGACTAAATCTCCCAGTGACAGCAAACCCACAGAGACAACCATGTAACAACAGTTAACGTGTATCAGTAACCTTTTTTAAGGTAAGTTAGCAATACACCACAAACTTTGAATTCTGCATGTACTCTGCTTTGATCCTTTTTTTTCCACTTCTGGAATCATCTTACAGTGCAGTGATACATTTCTCTGGTCCCACTCAGCTCCACAGTCCCACCTGACCCCCACAGTCCTGCAGCCACTTATAAAATAATCACTCAGAGGCTTAATATTATTTACAAACTGGATAGCCTATGGCAGGCTTCTTACTAGCTAGCTCTTTCATCTTAAATTAACCCATTTCCATTAATCTATGATTTGCCACGTGGCCATGGAGTTACCGGTCTGCTGGCATCTTGCTGGTCCTTGGGCAGCAGCTTTGCGTCTCTCCTGCTCTCCTTTCTTCTCTCCGTATCTCTGATTGGATTTCCTGCCTGCCTCTAAGCTGCATTGTCATAGGCCAAAACAGCTTTATTTATTAGCCAATGGGAGCAACACATATGCACAGCATGCAGAAACACATCCCACAGCATTACAGTAACTGTAAGGGTTACAAGATGAGGATGCACATGGGTGAGGGCTTTTATCGTGAATTGAATGGCAATAGAGAAAATCTGATGCAAGTTGTGACCCCTTAATAAACATTTATACAATAAGTACTAGTACACTTTCTGAAAGAATGAGATACAGAAGAACTCACTTCTGTGGGATGCTATCAGTGATATTAAACCAAAACAGTTGCAGAAAAACATCTAAAATATGAGTCAACGTCTGTAAAGATGCCTGGCTTGTAATCTGGTTACCCCTGGGAGTGGAAATGATGGGTGGGCATGTGTGGGGAGAAGACGTGGACATTCTTTCTTCATTTTACAAGTTTATGCATAGTTTGCATTTCTCCAATGAATATGCAATGGTTTATATATTTATTCTTTACACAATTTTGTAAGAATTTTTTTCACTTTGAAGGGTAACTAATATTTTTTAAAGAAATTATTTTTATAAAGATGAAAGTAACACACATGTGCTGACTTAAAAAACAAGAAGTTACAAGTATCACTAAAAAAGAAAAATGACGGACCACTGGCCTTCTACCCAAGTCATTATTTCCTTCATAGGAGAAAATGTACTTGGGCTGCTCTGTGTGATAGTTGAGATAAACACTTGAAGCAATCTGGCAGAAGTCATCTCAGTACATAAAGCTCAAGGTGAAGGATTTCTTTCATGAAGAATTAGTTATTTTAAAGTTTGGCACAGTTATCGATCCAAGTGAGATGTCCTAACTTGACTAAAGCAAAAGTGAGTCAGGAGAATGACAGTTGTTAATGAAGTCCACTTTTTCCAGGTTCATATAGACCAGTGGTTCTCAACCTGTGGGTCACGACCCCTGTGGACATTCAAAGGACCCTTTCACAGGGTTAGCCCAAGGCCATCAGAAAACACAGATATTTACATCATGATTCATAACAGTAGCAAAATTACAGTTACGAAGTAGCAATGAAATAACTTCATGGTTGGGGGTCAGCACAATATGAGGAACTGTATTAAAGAGTCACAACATTATGAAGGTTGAGAACCAGTGATACAGACCCAACTGATTCATGAACTTGGTGGAAAGTTCAAAGGTGAATAAGTTCAGTCTCTCTTAGAGCTGTAACTATAAATCTTTTTTCATTTCATTTTATTTTAACTGTCTAATATTTTAACTGATAGTACATTAATATAATTTATTTTTTGGAGGATTTTATGTGAGTACTATATTTATATCATTCCACCCCCATAGTCTATCCAACTCCTCCCCTGTCCCCCACCACGCTTTCTCAAGCTTCTCATAGCCTCTTATTCTTTAATAATCATTGTGACATATTCATACATGTAAATATTATTGCTACATATGTATCTATACATATAAATTTATAAATGTAACCTGGGGAATTCATTTAGTGTTGTTGGAAATGTCTGCTTGTCTATAAAGGGAATTGTCCCTGGAAAAGACCAATTCTTTTCTCAAAAGACCTTGTGATATTTCCCCTACCCACCCTGGAATGTCAATTGGTGGTGTCATTTTCCAGGTCTTATTTAGGCACCATAGTGTTAAGATTTCCTGGGAGCAACTTCCTTGTCATATGCAGAAACATGTATGACAAGAGGTTCAGCAGATGCCTTGAACCTCTGGCTCTTACAAACTTTCCGCCCACTCCTGCATGATGCTCCCTCAATCTTTGGGGGTATGCTGCATATTTCACAACTGATGTTGGGCGCCACACAGTTAGTTGTTCTCTGCATTTGCCACTTCCCTCTTTCTGTAATGGTCTCCAGTTGCAAAAAGAAGCTTCCCTGGTGGGGTTGAGAACTACATTTACCTCTGGGTGTAAGGATAAGTACTTGGAATGCAGTTATAAATTACAGTGGTTTAGGAAAGTGGAAGTAATAGGCTCTCTTCCATGCTCCTTGGCCTCACCAGCCATGAGTGGTGGGCTGAGTTTACATCACCAGGCATGAACTCCTTTCTGTTGAGTGGGCCTTCTGTACAGATGGCTACTGGTTACCTTCATGGTGTAAGTGTCACTGCTGCACCTTTTGGAGTGTCTTGTCATGCTGGTCATGGGGCTTCATAGGAATTACAGCAAAATAGGACTTTTTAATGGCTTTTCTCCAATGACAGCTTCCATAGTTCCTTCCAGTACTAGGAGAGATAGTCCTCAGGGAGGAGTCTTCCAGGTCACTTCAATTCCTGCAAGTCCTCTATAGCAACGTGTGTGGTATCTTCAGTAACAGAGCCTTACTTTCAATTTCTGGTAGGTAACCAAGGGCCATGTCAATAGCCTATATTGTTTTGGAAGTCTTTTGGACTCCCTTTACTAAGAACTTAAAAGGAGGTTTACTATGCCTGGTCCTGAGGTTTTTTTCTGGATAGTTTGTGGTTGGGGGAAAACATTGTTAGCTCAAGTGGTGTAACTTTACATACATGTATAAACATATGTTTACATACATGTAATTGTTAAGTAAACGTAAAATAATATAAATCCCTATAGTACTTTCAAACATTCTTAGGGTTGGTTATTTCCCCTCCTCTCTTTCCCTGTCTGTTGCTTTCCTTCTCCCTTCCCCAGCTAAGTCTCTCTCCACCTCTCCCCTGCTTTTCCCGGTTCCCCTTCCATATCACCTGCGTCCTGCCATTCCTTTCTCTAGAGTGTGCCCCACCATAGTATATTTTTATTTTCCTGGCATCTATGATTACTCCATGATATTATTCCCAACAAAGATTTGGAGCTAGTATCGACAAATAAGAGAGAAAATGTGGCATTTGCCTTTCTGGGCCTAGGTTTAGGTTTTCTATTTTGTTCCATGAATCTACGTATCTGTTTTGTGCCAATGGCATGGTGTTTTGATCATTACAGCTCTGTAATAAAGCTTGGGATCTGGAATGCAAATGCTTCTAGCATTGTTCCTTTTAAAGATGCTTTTTGAGATTTTTTCTCTATTTCTCTGAAGGCTGTTGTGGGTATTTTGGCATTTTGATTGGGATTGCACTTAATCTCTAACTTTTTTTTGGTACATGGTTATTCCACAGTATTGATTATACCAACCACAAGCATGGGATGTCTTCCCGTGTTTTGGTGCCTTCCTTAATCTCTTCAGAATTTTAAAGTTTTTATTATAGTGGTCTTTCCTGTCCTTGCCTAGGCTTATTCCTTTTTTTTTTAGACTATTGTGAATGAGAGTGTTTCCATGACCTCTCTCAGCATGTGTGTTCTTGGATTACAGAAAGTTGACTTAGTTTTGTAAATTGATTTCGTATGCTGCCACTTTTCTCAAAGTGCTGATTATCTCTAGAAGTTTTCAGATAGGTTTTTTTTTTTTGGAATCTCTTATGTGTGTATATTATGATAAACAAATAAGAATAATTTGAGTTCTTTTCCTGTCCATGTCCCTTTAGTTTCTTTCTCTTGTCTTCTTGCTCTAGCTAGCGCCTCGAGCGTTATATTGAAAAGAGAGGGGGTAGTGGAATATGTGTATCTATGTCATATACTATTTGATCCTGAGATGGGTGTGCAGAATGACCAGCCCTTCTGCTCGTATAAAACTCCTTCAAGTATTTTGGTGTTACATAGGCACTTTGGGTGCATTATGCCCTGGGCTCACCATTAACCCCATGAAGCTAAGGAAAATCAAAAATAAAATTCGAAGAATTTCTTAAAAATTACATACCATTTAAAATTTTGTCATTTAAGGCAGACTATGTTGATTCCGTATTTTAATGCCACCAGGAATTTTAGTAAGGATTTATAAATCTCCTTTGAAATTTCCTTACGCATTTCTACGTGCTGTGAGTCACTGTGTTTATTTTTCTCATAATTTGCAGCATAATTCTGTTCTATGCTCTTATCTTTTCCTTAAGATAAAGAAGCCAGCTTTCGAAAGGTTGTGTAACTTGTTCAACATTGAATAGCTATCACTTTAGCAGGGATTTTTATGTGGACTGGTCTTACTCCTAGCTTAAACTTTAATAAACAGATACGTCTGTCTCAAATACCCTGCATGCCAGAAGCCAGAGTCCAGGCAGCACATGAACACCAGCAGCCCCATCACCGCTTCCAGGAAAAGAACGTCCTTACTCATTGAACAAGCATACTTGCCTAGCCTTTATACCTTTTCAAGTGTTCCTTCTTGTCACAATATTCCTTGCTCTGCAGCTGATCTGCATAAGACCCTGCAACAACATATT